AAGAAGAATGACTATGACCTGCTCCTGCGTAATACACACAGGAAATGAATAGCTAAATAACAACAACAAAAAAATTTACCCATGTGAATCCCAAGCAGTTAATTGCATCAGCCAACATATCTCCAAGGAGTGAAGGCCAGGAAGTAAGCGCTGGAAAGTAGGCATGCATGTGTGGACTTTGCCAATGGACTACCTAGAACAAAATTATCTAGAAGTTAAGTCTGAAAATGTCACAAAATTCTGCATGAGATGTAGTGATTAGCATCTGCTTCAAGTGATGGAAAAGGATCACAGCAACATAATACGTGCAATTATAGATCTGCTACCAGAAAGCTACAGAGATAATATCAACAGGAATGCAGCACTAGCAAATGATAACACTGGGTCGTTATTAGATAAATTCCAAATTATAGCAAAAGCATTTATCTGAATTAAACAGGCAGACAAAGATTCTGAACAGGAAAGAATGGTCTTTTGAACATTGCACAACAGAGTCAGTAATCTTTATCGAAATATTTATCTTTATAAGGGCAATCCTTGCAACAAAGTTGGTCTTGCTCGTTTTGTCAAACAGCTTGCCTTTAGCTACACATAGCAACTTACAATTAGATAGCCCCCCTCGATACACCTGAAGGAGCTTGTATGTACGAGAGGAAGGAGGCATTTACATTAAAGAGCAGGAGACAAGTCGTAGATGTAACATGACCTCAGGCAAGAGATGTTTCACCTTATTGTGCCCGAGTTTCCACATCTCTGAAATTGAGATGATGCAGTTGAGTAGGTAGAGGCCTTGGGAAGCTAAATTCACCAGTGTCGGAAAATCATTGTTTCCCTCTAAGCAAACATGAGTTATTCTTAATGTATAAAATACTTCAAAAATACATTCAGTCTATCCCCTAAAATTGTAGTTAGGAACACAACAGTAATCTCCAGAATCCTTCTGTGGATATAATGTCTACAAGACTTATTCTACATTTTGGGTGCTTTATTTATTTAGATAAATGTTCTGCAGAACCTGTGCATTGGATTTGGTGTTCACCCCAGGTAGTAATGGCTTTTTCCTGTCATGATTATACTTTATTTCTTACCCCGGGCATAATAATCTTCTCTATATCCCCAAAGATGTTGTCCCAGCTGTCTGGGTCCATTGGGGCAGAATCCGGCAACTGGGCTCTCATGTAACCTGGCTGTACATCAGGAGTCACCCGTCTCTCTCGCACATTGCTCAGGTACTGGCAAATGTAATCCACCATCTCTTTCCCTGGAAGAGGCAAACCAGCGCTTTGAGTTTCGATTCCAGGAACGCTAACTAGTAGTGCTAGCACTTCACACAGTCTGTCCTTAGCATTGGACAGGGCTTTGAATACTACTCCCAGGATAGCCACAGGAACTAACCTTCCTCCTACACCCTACTTGTCCCATCTAATGATGTAGGGACACGGCTTCTAGAACAGGCTTCATGGGGACAGAACAGATTCAGAGGGTTATTTCAGTGTCATCGTTGAATAGTTCAAATATACCTTTAAAATACAGTCATGGTACAAGTACAGTTTGTTTGATTACTGAGAGGATAAACAGATATTCTTGCCTACAAATTAACTGAAACTGCATTTCACAAAAATTAAATTTGCATAATGCCCCATACTTCCCTGTTGTTATAGCATACCCCCTTTTGCACCCTCTGAAAACAGCTGCACAGCTCCACACCTTTTCTCCACTTTTTAGGCAATCTCCGCCAGCCCTGGGACCAAACTTTGCTCCCCATCTCCAGAACTGTGCCAGTATCACTGACGTTTCACGGTGTCAGCCGGGGAAGAGCCACTGTCCATAACCCCTTAGCACAAGTCTATTCAGAATCACAGTTTTGCAGCTTTCCCAAAGTATTTTAAATGTAAGACCAAAAAGCTTAAGTCATCCACTGACTCCAAATCCATTCATCTAAACTCAACCCTGGGACACATTTTTGTCTCAGCCTCAGCAGATCTAAGTCTCGAGGACATGTGTGCAAATTAAGAATATATAGCCCATCCTAATTTTGGGTACCACTCCCAGCCCTACAACAGTTGATATCCGTGAGCAAATGCTACCCGTTTCCAAGAGCAGAGGATCACTTACCTCTCCGTCTGTATTCCTCAGGCTCCATACTGATTCCTTCTAAAAGCACCTCGTCAAACCCGGACCACGGCCTTTCGGGAGCTGTGGGCAGTTTGGTCTGGTGCCCTGCTAGCTGCTTCACCCTTTATAGCTCCCTTTATCTCTCAGACTCACGCATTCTGGAAAAGGTTTAACGTGGGCAGGTTATTGGTGAGTGTTTATCTAACTCCTCCCAACTGAGGGCTTTTACAGTCTCTCGTATGTTCTCATCTGTGCTCTTTTGATGTGTAAGATAGTATATCTCTAACAGGAGCTGCCTCTGCGCTAACCCTTTCCCATTTTCAAACAATCTTTCAGAAGTCTCACAGTAATTCATGTCATGAATATAAGACACTAACATCAGACTTGTGGGAGAGAAAAAGCTCAAGAGCTTCCAAAACCAAATAAAAGCAGCCACGTTACTCTGGCACACCAAACTACCGCGCTAGCAGTAGTCATTAAAACAAAGCATCAGCACCTAACAAATTTGATGCTGCAGGCAGGGACTTTTTTTTTTTTTTTTTTTTTTTAAAGAATTGCAGGACTGAGTTTTCCCAAGAAGAGAGTATACCTGCATCCCCACAAGTCTCCAGTCCCTTGCTGCTAGAAGGAAAGGCCTTACAATTATTGCCAGTTCCAGAACTGCAATACAAAGCAGCAATGATCCTCTTTGTGCAGAGATTTCCTGCCCTTCCAGATCAGACCAGGTAACCCTGCAGGGCAATGTTCCTCCACTGATATCACCCTAGATTGCTGAGCTGAGAAAATGCATCTTTTTCCCCCAACTGTGCTTGCTTTTCTCACATATTATATGCATAAGCACTGGGATTTGGCCTTGTATCTCCAGAATTCCTCCAAGTCCTCCACCTGGACTGTTCTCGGTTTGGAAGAACAGCCATGTAGATTCCCCCTTGTTCCAATTTTAGGACCTGAAAACACATCCTGACCTGTCTTTGTCGGCACGACCTTGGACACTGTACTCAAGGTTGAGCGCTTATGGTCTTCACCAGAAGGAACTCACTTGCTCTACACTGATACCAGGCAGCCCTGGGAAAAGAGAGAGGTCTAAGAGAGAGGACGAAGCACCAGAAATGATGACATAGTACAATACACGCTTGCCCTATTCTTGCTATACCCTAGGCTCCTGCTCAGGGTTGGCCCTGTTGGAGACAGGACGCCAGGCTAGGCAGACCCTTCGTCTGGTACACGACAGCAGTGTCTCTGTTCTCACCATACAGAAGAGAACCGGCTGTCCGAGCAGCTTTGATTTTCTGCCTCATGCACTATAAGGCAGCCTAAACGCTTTCATTATTCTAGAAAGTTGTTACGCCTTTCTCCACAGCGTACTTTCTACGGAACAGTGTGAAAACCTTTCCTGGTTTCTGCTGCGATTAGATATTCGAGAAACAACTGTTTCATAGATATGACAAAGATGCTCTGATACATGCACATCAGATTAATATACTGAAATAAAAAACTGATTAAAAAGGCATTGAAAGAAGAAGTGCAAGAAGTGCAGAAAAAAACGCAACCCCATACTATATGCATATTCATCTGCTTTATCTCACATTTCTCTGGAAACATTAGGAAAAAAGAACAAGCTGCCCACACACTTAACATTAATTTATGACCCTCTCTTGGCTTTACTGTAAATGCTACCATAAAGGGGAACAAAGAAGGTGAGAAGGGACTGGCATCAAGCACCGGGCCAACTCAAAAAGAGCTGAGAGTTCTCAAAAACTGTGATTCTGGCTCATTACAAGTAACCAATGTATTACTTTAATATATGGACGGCTGTTCAAAGAAAGCTGGTAGCTAACTACATTTATGGTTTCAATTTGGACCAGCAAATAAGGAGCAATAGTTTTAACAATGTTTTCAGAGCTAAACCACACAATAAATATTCCATGTGACATATACCCTACGCCTTTGCTCAAAGGTGATAGTTCCATCAGGTTGGTTTCTCGTTCTGTGCAGAAGAGAACAAACAGCAGCTCCTGTTCAGAACTAGAATAAAATAGGTGATAATGAATTACAGGTAGGGTAAATATTGCTGGTGCTAAATAAATTTTTGTTATAGCTACCCTGCACTGGAAAGGATTTTGCTACCGACCACGAGGAACAGAATATTTGCTCACAGGAAGCAGAATTAATAGAAAAGGTTCTTTTCATTGTTTGCTACAAAGGTCTGTGCCGTCAAAACCGTGGGAAATTCTCCATTTGGATGTGAACATTACCACTATCACCACTCAGACTAACGCCGAAATTCTTATCGGTATTAAGAGTTCACAGAGATTAAACTGTAGTTAAGTTTGTGGGATGTGAGGACACAAACATTATTTTGATCACAGAGTAATTCAGTTGGAGCAATGCCTAACCAGCACATTTAACTTGACTAACTGGTTCCTGCATTTGCTAGTGACATAATGGATAGTTTCTTGAAAAAACCCTAAAACAGCAATTTCCAGTTAGTCACTGCACAAGGCTCGCTTCAAGTCCTAGTACCAGCTGAGCATGATTATATCCTTGAAAATAATTCTTCTACAAACCACCATCACCAATTTTCCATTTTTTATTACCTTTTGATTATTTTGGGGCCAAATTTGCCAAATTTATACCAATACTAGGATATTTAGGATTTTTTCTTAACTGCCAATTCTATAAACTCAAGTCAAAGTCTGAAGAAGGAAGATTTCACTTCCTATTGTGTAATGAAATTCTTTCCCCACTCCTCCCTCCTCCCTTTGAAAGCTATTCTAAGCCTAAAACTGTTTTTTCATATTTTTCTGAATGCCTAACACAGCACAGCTTTGACCTTCTAATGCGCATACGAAACAATTGAAATGGAATTGATTCTACACTATATGTATGTGGAAAAGATATTTAATTGTAAAATAGAAAAAGTAGGCCAGAGTACAGTTTTAAGGGTAATTCTTCTGTGTACAGTATAGGTAAACTGGACTTTTTGCTTAAGTTTATATAAACAATTCCATAAAAGCAGTGAAACATGGAACAACAAAGCAAAGCACAACGAGTTTTATCTTACAAAAAAGGAATCTGCACAGTAGTTCAAAATTTAATGTAACACAGCACTGAACAATCTTAAGGCAGCTCAGTCTAAGCACAGGACTAGAAGCCAGGAACTCCTGAGGTCTGTTCCCAGGTCTACCACAGATTCACGTGGTCTTGGGCCAGTCGTTTAACACTCCCTGTGTTGCACTTATACCAGTTATAAAATTGAGACAATAACACTCACTTACCTGCCTCAGGCAGTACGGTAAGGGTTCTTTAAAAGATTTTACAACGCTCTGAAGATGTAACGTGCTATATAAATCCTAAGCATAATAGATCACTGCACAGACACACACAAACACGGTATCACAGTGAAGAACAATGATGCTAGGTAAGAAGAGCATCACTACAACGTAAAAAAAATTATTTGTCCAATTGCGTAATTAAAATGCAAAAGTCCGTTTAGAAAAAACGTATCACTGAAATCATTTCAAGGCTATTGGGGAAAAGAGATCGATAGGAATATTCTAAAAGAACTACTATTTGTGTTCCAGTGGAGACATTCTTTTCTATTCATTACTGAACTTTAAAATGTTTGTACAGGAAAATTGTAAGACACACAAAGTGAAGTTTCAATGCCTCCACTACCAAATTTTAAATTGCCTCTAATATGTAAATTAAGATTTTTTTTTTTTGTTGTTCTTTTTAATTACAAATTACATTCTTCCAAGGAATATACCATCCACAATAAAACTGGCTGCTAGCTTACTTGAAATGACCTATAGGCTAAACATTTTTCTCATAATTTTTCTCATCTTTGCTGAAAAATACCTATGCAAGATGTATATGTAGAAATTATAAAAACATGCAGCATATGTACAAACTGAAAAGTTTAAAAAATATTAGCTTCATATACATGTAAATCTACTTGGATATATCTGAAATTAAATATAAAAATTTCACCACCTAAAATAAAAAAACCCAAAAATGGTTTTCAGAGAATCTGAGACAACTACTTAAAGCTGTACAAAGATTTCCACGTGGAAATGTCTTATTCAGAGAAGTTTAAGTTGTTACCGTGTAGAAATAACTGTTAATTCATTTTGTCACATAATTCGTTTTCAAGTTGTCAGCTTAAATCAACAACATCACCCTTAAAACTGTTCTGTTTTTCAGAAGTTAGATTCGTACTAAAATCAAAAATTTCACAAAAACATTGGCTTCTCATGTTTCTGGATCCCTTCAAAAAGATTTATCAACTCATTTTGAAACTGTAAAAAAAACAACTATTTACAGTATTTCATTTTAAATACTTTTCACAATTTCTAAATTCAGAGTTTTTATGTTACAAGAAACTCATCAGAGCTCACGGCGTAAGTCCAGTTATCAACTTGTAGCATCTTCTCTATCATGTAATCCTGTGTCTGTACCTATATAGCGTACAGTTCAAGATTGTACTGCAGGTTTTTGAAAGTAACAGGCTTTGCAGTATGTTCATTTTTTATTAAACAGCTTCTTTATTAGTCTGGAGGCGGTTCATTGCCTCTAACTTCTGCCGATAGGCCTCTGCTTCTTGTTCTTTCTTTAGAAGCTGCTGACGATATTTTTGTGCTTCTCTGTTTGCCTCATCCAGCTGTTTCTGAAGAGTTTCTCTTTCCTATTAGAAAAAGAACCAGCAATATTTTGTCAAATATGTATCAAATATAAGTTAAAACGGCAAATACTTTTCCTTTACATGCAGCTGAAGTGTTAGGGTATCATGTAGAAACTGTCCAGTTCTTACTCGGGCAAACCTAAATGAATGCTGCTGTGTAAAACAGATATCAAGTATCACACCAGACAACTCCCCACAATTAAGACTTGAAGTGTAAATATAGCAAACCCAAGTTTCTTTAGCTGCAAAGATACCAAGCAAGTCTTCATGGAAAAAGAGTGAAATAAAGTGGAAGCATGGTGATCAAATACTAACATAATAGATTAACATTTCTCCAATGACTCAATTCCCTTTGTTAATGTTTTTAAATTGGAATCCAATCTAACAGGATTGTCCCTTTCTGTTGTATTTCTAATCAGGCAGTATAATGAAAAACTGTTACCTAGCAACAGTTTGCACTGGAAAGTGACAGCTGCCCACTAACCGAAATATATACATAGCTGGTTTCTAAATGAAGTGATCTGAAGTGATTGATACTATGCAATCCAGAGGTATAATTACATCCCCAAGGACACCACATTTTTATGAATTAACAGGCATGTAGCTAGATAAGCTTTTTCAATTCAAAAGGAGTAACTTAAGGCTCCATCCTGCATACAGGTTTGCTGGGGATGGCTATAAAATGGTTTCCAAGCAAAATAATACAGGAAATGCCACTTCCCATGAAGCTGCCTTAGGAACTAAGGAGAATGTATTTCTATCTCCAGTGATGTAGGTACTGTCATTTTGTTTGATGCTGCACTGAGCCCAATTAAAAAAGCAATTTGCTTGGAAAATAGTTTTGTTTTGATCTTCAACCAAATACCATTTCAATGAAGTGCATCATACTTTTATGAGTAAGGTAGTATTTGATTTCAAATCACTTTCCACTGTAGTTGTTACGTAGCCACAGGAAGGAGGTTGTCAGAGAAGCGAGCTATCTCCCAGAAAAAAAAAAAAAAAAAAAACTCTTATCAAAAACTGAGGCCCAGTGAAAATAAGTTGCCTTTTCACCTTATTCCCAGCCCAGCAGTTCAGTATCACATTCCCATTTAATACCTCAAACAGTTGTTAGAAGTTTCTCCCCCCACATCCCCATAAGAGCATCCCTATTCTTCACCTCTTTGATGCACTCACATATTTTCATGGTCAGAGCCTGAAAGTACAAAATACTCTGCCTCCCTTCTACTTGCTACTGTTCTCAGTACTTGTCACAGTCACATTTAGCAGTCACATACTGTGCTGAATGTGCTGGAATATAATGACATAGGTAATCAGATCATTGCTAACAGCAGCATCTGTATAGCAAAAACAACAGGTGAAGGAAAGATGTTATTAACAGGTTATAAAGACTAGCTATAATACAGAACAGAACAAACTCCACTGAGTGCAACCCGATTCTACATAGGGCTTTAAGAGCTGAAGGAAGCTAGCTAGGGTTTGCTTCATTTGGAGCATATGCTGATAAAATGAGAGCTCATCTGATCTTGCTTACTTATTTGAAAAGGAAGTTCAGCTTCCACCTCTGAAAATTTGAATTCTGCTTTTTAAGCAACTTTATGAATGGCCAACCCATGTAGCAACTAGACTGACGAAGGCCAAATGAACGGTAGAGCCTACGTCTCAAAGGATCTGAAATACACCAATGATGTTCCAGCACCAGTCCAACCAAAACATACTGCTATTTCTGTAAGTTATCTACGTAGCTTAAGGGGAGCCAACAGCTTACATAAAACAGCCCCGTGGAGTCGAATGTTGGTGAAAAGAGCTACAAAAAAATTCTCAGGGAAGCAGTCAAAACAGCTTATCCTGCTACAAGTGGAAAGCAACATTTCCCTCTTTAGGGCATTCAGCTCTGGGATATATGAGCTGGGCATTATCCATCTCATGAAACTGTCACATAAAAAACGTCAGAAATCTACTACTGGCAAGAAGCAAAGCTGCTCTATCTACTGGGCTGCAGAAGAATAAGACCCACCAGTAGCTCACTGGCCAGTGGTTCTGCGATGCATTACAAAAAACAAGGTGCTATCACTACTATGGAGTGTGTGCAGACTGCAAATGCTTGGGAGCGGAGAGGTTCTCAGACCACACCTTATGAGTATTTCCCACAGAAGAGAGAAATAGAACCGTGTACCCATCAGGAGTATAGCACATTAAGGAAGGGATAGGAAAAAAAGGAAAAAAAATAAGTCTCATTGGCAGAGACAAGAAGATAAAACCAGTATCTACCATACGGACTAGCAATTCAAAGCATGTAGATTAGTCCAGCAGCTAATAGGTGCAGTTTTCAGAGAGTCATAGTCCTACTGTAAAGAGAATGAGCTAAGGAATTGAGGCCAAGTATACTGTCTAACTAGGCAGTGGAAAGAAACCAATGCTTCTGGAGAAGCAATGCAGATCCACAGTGGACTGAACAGTGAAAACTGGTTCCTTAACTTTGACATCTAGAATAGGGAGGACTACATCTGGTCTATTATTTCACCAAATCCAGAAAGTGTTCTTAGGGCATTCTTTAGAACACAACTGAAAGAGTTCTAATTATCTGAAATCCTTTTGTATCAGCATAAAAACCTACCCAGGTAAAACTCAAATTAGAGGATCCTGAGTGCTCTTAAGAAACTTCCTATGTTATCAGGCAATTTTCTTCATTACATGTAACTTTTCTTAACAGTCTATATATTGACAACAGGGACACACATAACTAAAATAACCAAACCAAGCATTCTTTTTAACAACAGAAAAAGCAGGGATATGAATTCACTAATATAATTAATTTACAATTATGATGTTTTTTTAGTCTAATGAAATTATTGTCCTGATTCTAATACATGTCACTTTTCAAACATGCAACATGGGAAAGACAGTCAAATTCAAGAATGAAAATAAAAATCACTGTATGTTAATGAATTATGCATGAAAATGAAAAACAGAGTATCTGTGTGACAGGTTTTTTTCTGCTGCCATCCTATGTTTAAAATACCGAACTGTTTAGGAAAACTGCCACAACTCTTCAAAATGAGCCGAAATGTTTGAACTTAACAGACCCAAAAGAGAAAAAATCAAAACACACCACACTACAGCTTTAGTCGTTCACAATACCTTCACAGGAATTTTTAATCACCTCACATGAATGGAAAGATGTTCAACTTAAAGACTTTCAAACTACAGTTAACTGTTCATACGCTATGAATTTAGAACAGCTGAAGAAAGCACTCTTAGCCTTGAATCAACTCTTTATAATGAAATAACGGAATGAATCACCAGTGGGGCAGAGAAACCAAGCAATAAAGGTTTTCTACATTAAAAAAAAATATTTTAATGAGGGGAGGGGTCCCACTCCCTCCACATTCAAGTATTACCACCTTCTACAATGTTGAAGGTCAAAGTGAACAGATTTTATGTGCACTTTAATGTCCCTGTTACCAAAGCGAGGTAGCACCATACCCCTGTGAACTACAATAAGGCTCCTGAAGTCAACTGGCCTCCACACAGAGGCAGAGGTCTGCATGTGCATTTCCAGTTGTACAGGCAGCGACAAAGTCATCAAAACCTGCACTTAAAAGTAACAGATAAAGTAACTCATTTAAACCAACTTCTTTTGATATTTGAGAAATGTGTTTAAAATATATAATTGAAACTCGTAATCCCCTTAAAAGAATTATTTGTACTGTTATACCAGCTATGTGTAATTAGGAACAGGTCAATTTATTCCCTAACCAATCTAGATGATTTTTCCTTCACCTAACAGAATTATTAAAATACTTAAGGAAACGTAATTTCCTTTAGGAATAATTCAGGCAGATGTTTAAAAGTGTGAACAAAAGAAATGCTTTTATTGTAACAGTCATACATTTAAAAAAAATGCAGCAAGAAAATTTCAACTGTCATGATAATCTGTAATGACCACCACAGCTGCAAAGGCCAAAAGTATTTGATGTGACAACTTAGGGACAGGGAAAGCAAGTGATGAAAGGTGATAATTATTGTTATTAGACATGGATAACATATAGCACATACTGTACAATAAAAAGTATTCAGTTAGGCACAATTCAATAATATGAACAGAAGTTGGGTAATACAACTTTTGATAAATGAAATATCATGGAGTTGACAAAATGAGAACGTACAGCCTAGTCAAGGCAGACAGCAATTTTCATAAACTTTTGACCAAAACTGGTCAGCACAGTTAGAAGTAGTAACAGATGAAGGAATGAGATGGTTGACCTATTGTGGTTAATATAAAAAAGCTATAATTTTAAATTGAACAGCTACATCTAATTGTCATCTATAGAAAGAAAAGCTCTCTCAATGTTGTTACGTCTTCTGCACTATAATTTAAAAAAAACAGGATGGTGCAAAGACATGTAATAGTAAACTGCTCCAGAATTAAAAAAAAAAGAAAAGAAAAAAGGGACAGATAAAAATTGACAAACACAGAATCTTACTGTTTCACATTTCCATTAACAGTTATCTAGATATCATGAATGGAAAGGAAACATTGCTAAAAATATGATCTCACAATCAGGACAAGCATGTGGTCGTAACAGAAAGATGCGGGTACAGTACTCTCATTCACTGCTAGCGGAAAGAGTCAAGTTACTCGATAATATATCGGTACCTAGTTTTAAAAACTAGCTAGTGATCTTAAAGGAAAAATAAAAAAATTAAGTTATCAAATACTTAAACAAGTGTAAATTTTACGTGCACGACCAGAGGATGAAGCAAACAGCCCTCCTATATTCTTTTTACAACTTTGTAAAAGATGAATTCCAGTAACAGGGAAGACTGAACAAGTTATTGTTTCACACGCTTCATTCTGTGGTAACACAGAAATTAAACTCTAGAAAACACAAAAAACCACAACCAGATACTCAGTGCCGAACACACTGGTTAACACATATCACGTAATATACTCCTTACTTCTATTTCTGCAGACTCCACACGATTTTCAACAATCTCAATGCACTGTCTCTTCACTGGCGGCTCTTCGCTTATCACAGTTTCTTCAGCAATGTCTGTTGCTGGAACTGTTAATACTGAAAACATATTTGTACATATAAATACATTTACTTCAAACAATATTTGCACTATATAAAATTCATATAATTAAGTAATTTTATTAACAGCAATAAAAATGCAAAGACTTTCCCTTATGAAAACATGACTTTATAATAAAGTGCACTATAAAGTCAGTATAGGGAAAATTTACTAAAAACTTTAGCTGCTTGTATGCTAGTAAAGGATTTTAAAATTCTTTGTTGCTGAGGTCTACAATAGTTACCAGTCACTCTGGAGTATCATTGACATATTTCACAGAGTAAACAGACATGGAGGTGAACTGCAACAGTTACCAGTCTGTCAGTTCTGTAACTTAGGTAGCAGACCATCTCCTTTATAATGTTTCTGAAGCAAATACTAAATACAAAACTGGCTTTTGATTTTGATGAATTAGTAGCCTGAAAATCCAGTTGTTATTAACCTTGGAGGAAAAAAAAAAAAGGGCATCTAAAGAAATTCATACTCTAATTTACTCATGCAACCGTCTGGCAAATAGATGTTGTGACTATCACTTCAATTACTACCTACACACATTCGTGCTTTCTGATAACTAGCTGTACTTGTTCAGACAGACTGTGAACCAAATCATCTGTCTTCACTGCCCAACTCTTCAAGCTCCACACTGGGAGTCCTCATGAAGAAACCAGAGAAGGAATAATTTTTGTCCAAATAGCAGTGGCAGAGAATCTTTAAAAGAAACCACCCAAAACGCACACGTCACAAAACAGCACTTACTACACTAGCAGCTTCCACAAAGTACCTATGGCCCAACAGGACAATCCGTATCACCCTGGCTTCACTGGTTCTGTCACTGCTCCTCTGAAATCTCAAGCATGTAAGACTTGGCTTTTGTTCTGTTAAGAACATGCTCCATGGGACTTGCACAGCTTGCTTCATGCATCAGATTTCTAAACCCCACCTTCACCTCCCTGCAATTTTTCCAGCAAGGCAACATAAGTATTGGAAGAAGGCTTTTGTTTTACTCCATCTTCTGGTTTTCATAACAAGTTTGCAAGAATCAAACTTACTGAAGGCAAAGCAAGTAGTTATCACTTTTCCCTTAAATGTCCCAGTTTTCTTCCATAGTTTGGTAATTCTTCCATTCTTTCTCCTAATGCAGAGACTCGGCTGACACGTGGTAACTCACTGAACTGCAGTGTCTCACATGTCTGAGCCTTTTGCAGTATAAGAATTCAAATATGTATTTAAATTGATAATTACACAAAATTCTCCAAGCTATTTGCACCTAACAATTTATTATTATAACTAAAATAGTTCCTCAAGCACAAATCGTACATGTTTCCACTCACCTTGCTGTCCATCTGGCATGGTCACAATGATCGGTTGCCCTATTCCACTGGTTGGAATTGAATGCAGATTACCAAGCTGAATGCCGTCTGTAACTATAGTAATAACTTGCTGACCTCCAGAACTGACAACTTGCTGAATAGCACCATCCACAGATTCTGCAGTCACTACCTCTTCTGTGGCCACAACTATCAACAGATTAGTAAAGGAAATAAGTCAATTTATAAATTAAGCTTTATGATTTCAAATGCATTTTGGTACCGCTGAGAAAAAAAAATGTCTTCCATGTCTTTTAAAATTTGATAAACTCCCCCCCCCTTAACACATTACTACATATTATATTGTTAATAGAAATCTTTCACCAGGCCAACATAGAGCACTAACATTTTGAAATATACATGCAACTCTGTCCTGGTTTACCTTGCTCAATATAATAATTTTTTTTATTTAGCATGTTTCCTAATAGACACATCCCACTCAAAACTGATGCTTTGGGTTCAGTGTTAATATGGCAGCAAGAACAAGAGTTGGTTTTAAGAATACAAATAACTTTTCCATTGTACACAAGCTGGACTAAGTTACACTAGCAGCGGAATACAAAAAAAAAATTAAACTTGAAATACTAGCTTGAAACTGCTCCTCAACCAGTGCCTTGCCAGGTGTACCTCAGGACCCAGCCCCGATTTCTCTGCTTACCATAATGGTCTTCAAGACAATAACAGACTGAAGGACCTCTAGAGAATCTTAAAGTTTTGTCTGTACTACATGGGTACTTCAAACATAACCACAACTTTTTTTATTACACAAAGTATGGAACAGGACTAAAGGAAAAGTTCTGCAGAGTTGACATTTTCACACCTTTGAAGGAGAAAGATTAAGCTAAAAAGGTAAAATAAGCATTGTATGTATATAATTTTATAAGTAAAAATAAAAATCCCAGCTCAACTAAATATTTCAAATTCATGATTCAATAATGACTATACAGCAGTGAACTCTCACAGTTCTATATTACATCCATAAGTCAAGGTAAGATAAGGAAAAGACTGCATTCAGAGCTACAACACATACCACAGCTTGCACTATACACTGTAACTGGGGTCTCACACTACCACCCTTTTTTTTTTAAAAACAAGATACTGAGAGAAAGAGCACTAGTAGCACAATCAAAGAATTTCAAGCACACTAACTCTGTATTTTATTTTCAATTTGTCAGGGTAAAAGCAAAGCCTTTGATTTAAATAACAGACATTAGAGTGCTTTCTATCTACAGAGATAAAATTAAAACCCTATAGACTGTATTGTGATGCTCGAGATGAGAGAAGGCAGATAAAACCCTGAAGCTTTCATCTTTTAAGTTAATTACAATGTAACACACACACAAAAAAAAAATCACTCTGTAGTTCAAATAATGACTGCAGTCATTGCCTTCTGAAGATCTTTATGTTCAGAGATTACTGTCCAACAGCACTGTTTAAATATTCATAGAGTGTTTATTCAGTAAACCAAAACAGTAAGTCCTACATGAATAAGCGGTGTTGTATTGAACATGATTTGGCTTCCAAGTACAGGCTCAACAGTAAGAAAGACCACTGTCACCAAAAAATCCAAGTTGCAATTGCCAATACTAGCTGCTGTGGCAAACAGCTCTGATCTTTCAGTTTCAAACTCAACATTGGGTTTTTAGTTGTGGAAGGAAACGTTATGAGGACTTCTTCAGACCTTGAAAGAAAAATGGAGATTTTGCCTAAAAAGAAGTTACTCTGTATAAAAGATAAATATCCCTATAAATACAGTTGTTATTCCTCCCTTGCTCTCCTTCCGTATCTATATCCGTATAATCACTAGTTACCACACTACTTCATACGCTGAAGGAAAGCTGAAGTCATTTAAAACAGCACCACTGTTATTTCCAAGAATCTCTGTATTATGTGCATTATTTCCTTCTGCAGTGAGTGCGGGGGGAGAACACCTGCACACGCAGTAAGTCATATGCCTAATTCCAACATAAGCACACCAAACGTCGCATTCCAACTACACATCTTAAACCAGATTTTTCTTTAATCCAACTCTGAGTCCATACATACATTACGCACCACATTTGTACGTAACACCCATGTCCTCATATACACTTCATTTGAGTAACAATTAAAAAAAGCATGATTCTATTCAGCTCCAGTGAGAAGCACCTTTCTTTCTTTGGTTTTACAATATTGATGTGTTTTTAACTGTCAGACATGAAGAACTAGGGGGAAGAGATCAGGGTAAAGTTAATTTGGAAAGAAGAGAAAAACCTAGACAGAAACGACATAAAAGGCAGAACCTAAGTGCTTCGTCCAAGTTTATACAGTCTTAAATACAGGAGGCTAAGTACAAGGTAAGAGCCAAAACCAGAATTCTCAATCTTACAATTTTTGACAGTATTTATAAATGGATTTTTTACAAGATGAGCACAAAGGGGTTTTTTTGTTGCTGTGTTTCTTTTTTTTTTTTTTCCTTGAACACACATACTACTGATACACAGGTGACAAAGAGCTGCTTTTGTATACTTCACACTTTATAAAATATTAAAGGAGTAAGAACCCAGGAAATAATTTGCGGACAGTAAGATTCTGCAAGATTGCCCATACATCTACATAAAAATCAAAGCAGAAGGACTAAAATAAACAGGAGGGCTAGGTATGATGCACACTGCATTACTGAAGGTGGGAAGCTACTGCATCAAGGCTTCAAGCTTATTCCTTCTGGCCTGTCATCTCCTGCCTCCTCTCTAATAATTCTTATCTTCAGTGGTTTACTGACATGTAACGTAGGTTACGCTGCACCACTGCAAGGGTAGGGCCATGAAACGCGAGAACACTCTGTTAGTTACCGAAGTCTACTACCAAGTCCCGGACACACATTTAATGCTCTGTAATCCTATGCAATCCCTTCTCAAGTTTCTCTCCTACAATTAGATCTGAGTTTCACTGAAACATATTAATTGATTGAAAACTTCAGCAGCTTCTTCTGTAATGAAAGGCACTGCATTCCGGTTTTGGAATCATCCACTTCACTTGCAATATTTAAATGTCATAAAATAGTATAGCTGTACTTAGGTACTGCTTTGAGAAGTAGTAGAAGAAAAGAACTGTTTTAAGAAGAAAACCTGCAGGACTTCAAAATATTTAGAGATGAAAACTCAGGTATATGTTGCGATGCAGCTGTCATGCCAGCAAGTCTGAGAGTACAGATCTGGTCTATATTTTCAGTGAAAACTGTATCCTTAAGAACAATATCATCTGCAGAGCTGAATTCTGTGAGAATTCAAGCACCAAAGACTTTGACCATGCAAAGTATCTCAGTTCTGTAAAATTTATCATACTGACCATCACCAACAAAAAAGCAAAATAAATGCATTTCTTTAGAAATGTGTTTAGAAAAATTCAGGTTACCATAAGCATCATAAATCCTTGATCGACAGAGGGTTGTTGCTCTCCATAGTGATCTCCAGCCACTGGCTTTGAAGTTAGGCTCATCTTGCTACATATCACATCACTAATCAGCGCTCAAAATCCCAAGCTAACTTTGAAATAAGGCTATAGTGCTACAGGTCAGTATAATAAATACTAAATCAACAAAAAAAAAGCAATCTGGCCTACCATAAAACTCCAGCAGCTACAGGCATATACTGCCTGAGAAAACCAGGGAGCAACGTATGCAGAACAGCACTGGGCAAGTAAAGCATGCATGAAATACTTCACAGCTTTCTTTAGAAAGCCAGGTCTCCACCACAACACCTTTGGGACTCTCAGAATAACAGAAGTTTTTATTCAAGTACACCATATAGCCTACTTCAGAGACAAAAACTAGGGAATTGTGTGTCCCAACACTAGCTAACAAAGAATTAACATAGCACCTGACCTCCTAAGTGCTGGTTTTACCTGATTTTTTTTATGCAATGGCAAGATATTAACATACACCATAATGGACAAATACGGTCCAGAACAGAAGTTTAGTGTCATCCTCTTATAAAGTAACTTCCAACAATTCAGAAGCTTTTGATCACATTTTAACTTTATTGTAGATGGTACTGCAACTTGCTTAAATTATAAAAGGTCTTTTCCTTGCTTATATCTCTCTCTCAAACCTGTCAGTGGTAATGACTAGCCTTTATAATCCACTTTGATTATAAGACTTCTGACTGCTATGTCTTTCTTCGCTTTGCATGTTGTAATGAACAAAAGTGGAAAAAGTACACAAAGCAAGCACCACATTATTCAGAAAGAGTGGAGAAAGATACCCAGTACAACCTGCAGGGTATGGAACCTTGACCAAGTTTTTTTTCAGACACAGCAGTAACTGGCAAAGACCCATGGGGCAGGGGTGAAGGGGTTTTGTGTTAAGGAAGAGGAATGCAAAACTTAGGAATTAGGGGCAATGGAATTCCTTGTGCCTTTCTGGCTTCTTGTCATGGCCTTACAGAATAAGGGAGCGTGCATACAGCTGCAGTCAGGGATGCAGGCTGTTTCTTCCTAGGAGAGAAAGAATGTATTACTAGGCTTACGTTTGTTTACCTGAAGTGCCATGACAGCATACCAGCCTGAAGTGGGACATACTAATCACTACATTTTATTATAAATGCAAATGCATTTATAGACAACATAGAATGCCTCAATGTTGAAAAGACAACCCATAGGCATATCTAATGAGCAAAGTGCACATTAAGATCACCAAATATTCTTGTGCCTTTTGGGTGAAAGATTAAGAAAAACGCTGACAAAGTATATGCAGACAACAGTAGGGGCCATTTCCCAATACTTAACAGAAAGAAGCATTCGAAGAAAATTCTCCCACCAAATGCAACTAGACTATACGTAGACAAAGATGTGAATTCAATCTCCTGAATTATGCTGGCTTTCAGCAAGATGAATGCTACTCACATTAGGCACAGAACTACCAGCTGCGGTCAGAAATCTTATTAAGAACTAATTGTACATACAAATCTGGCAACCTTCCAGGTGAAAGTAAAGGAAAAATTTTGTTCACATTGAAAAAAGGAAGACTATCATCTCATTTCTGTGTGAACTGTATCTCCAAAAGCACCAATTATGTACTTCTAGTTTAATAAATGAGGTTAAATGACTTTGCTTTCTAACCTGGTGTTTCTGAAGAATTAGACAGTGGAGCTGATGCTTCTGCTAAAGCTGCCAACGTGGCTAATACTGACGTCGATGAATTTCCAAACTGTACAGCAGACACTCCTGTTTCATCTAGTGGGATGAAAAAAAAAAAGTTAGCTCATAAATTTAAAACCAATGAAGTCCCTTTTTTTGTTATTGCATTGAAGCTTCTATCACACACACTGTTCTCAGCAACATTCTGCTAAACCAAAGTGCTATTCTGAAGGCAAGTTTGTTAAGCAAATACAACTTCTGATAATTTATGTCCGTGAAGACTGTTGTTTTAAGTACCTAGATATTTACAACACATAAAAAACACTGAAGAGGAACATGGTAACTAGTCTATTCTTACCACTGTTTTTCCTCAAGTCTTTTCACTAAATGGTGAAAATCAGTTAAAGTATAAAATCCCAGTAGCTGTCCTACAGGCATCTAAATCCCTGTTCCATTTGATGTATTTGCAGAAGATACCAGACCTGTTAGGTTCACCACCCCTCCAGGTCCGATGATGAACTGCGGTGTTGCTGCATGTATCGTCACAGTGTCCGGACTCTCTGGATTTGTATTGATTTGGTTCTGCATTGCAATCTAGGAGACAAAGGTAATAATATCATTCCAACTGTAGGTATAAAGAAGCTATTTACCTTGTAAGAACTACAATTATTGCACATTCCACTCAAACAGGGAGGATCCCCCTCATTATACTCACGCAATATACACACATCATGTCACATCTTGTGCTCTATGTAAGTATATGAGAAACATTTTTTTTTTTGGCTGAAATCTAAAGACAAAAAGTCTGTTGAAGTGAAAGAGAATAATGACACACTGCTACTTCTCCTTAGCACTTATTGTAAACAAAGAGGACCATATAAAGACAAGGCCCTTTTGTAGATGTGCAAGCTCAAGTATCTAAAATAGAGGCCTGAAGAACCAAGACTGCTGTCACAGCTACATGCCACGAAAATCGGCTCTGACAGCTTAGTAATTGCTATGAATTGTAGATGGCATTCTTCTTTTTGTCCTTCTTTGAATTATTATTGACTTTTATTTACTATATCCTTTCCACAATGAAGAGGAGGCTAAAGGAACAGACCATAAGTTCATACAGTTCAAGATGTAGGGGAACAACAGATTCATACGGTGGCATAACGGTATTTTTCATTTGCTTTCTATTCTTTTCTCAATAATGCTTAGCACTTAATTTGCCTTTAAGAACACTATTGAACAGTGAGACACAATTCCATGAAAGTAACTATTACAATCCCAATCCTAATCACTTCTCCAACAATTCAATCCTAGTTTCTCTAATTCTGGAAAAAATGCCATCTCTCCTCTCCTGAACTCCAATTGCTAGAAAATTAACAGTCATATACTAAGCCAATTTAACACTAGCCTATAGTCAAAACATATTGGCAGAGTAGGGAGCTAAGTTTTACGCCTTGCTTGTGAAGACTCTACTTAGTTCTGTGTACTACAACGCTCAAATTTAAGAAAATAAACGATACTTATCCTTGACTTTGTAGGTGGTGAAAACACTCTTCAGCCAACTAACGTTTACTAACATTAATCTCATTTCCACATCATGAAATAGACTGGAGTTTAGCAGTATCAGTCAATACATGGTCTCACAGCTGCTATATTAAAAGCTTAGTTTATCCCATGTGTAAACAAGTACTTTGCTGTAAAGTTCCCTTAACATCATGAATCAAAAGTTACCTGCAATATTTCTGCAAGGTCTTCATTTCCATTGTCTACTGCAATATCTAATGCCGTTTTGCAAAATTTACTCTGAGCATGAACATCTGCTCCGTACTTTATTAAGAGTTCTACAACTTCTTGGTGGTTATGTTCAGTAGCCCAATGAAGTGCAGTCATTTTGAGCATGTCCTTCGCATTGACATCAGCACCGTGCTACAAACAAGATCATTGCATAAACTATGTCATTACAAGTATCTGAATTAAATAATGCTGGTCACAGAATAAAGCCCAAAATTGTCTTTCTCCAGCAGTAATGTCCTGTTATCTTACATTTACAGATTTATTAGAAGTACTTCAATCTAACTACCAAATAAATTATTTGCCTCAAAGGATTAAAGACTCCCTAAAACATAACATGCCTTGGTTCTAAAAGTTGTCACTCACACAATGTCAAATTAGGAAGTAGTCTTATTTTGAAACAGCAATAAATAATTCACCTGAAATCATGATGACTTTAATGCTAAAATAAATTACAGTTTAATAGGAAAACAAAGCACTCAATGCACAGAATATAAATATTCATATCATTTCAATGTTGTTTTCATGATTAAAAGGAAACTGCAAATATTTGATCATAAACCATCGTAATATCCCCACCTCAGACCCTGTTTCAGCAGCAGTCTTTACCTTAAGTAAGACTTCTACTATGCTGGCATGGCCTTCTGATGCTGCCATATGTAATGGAGTTCTGTCCACTTTGGTTCTGGCATCCCGACTTACACCTGCTCGCAGCAACACTTCTGTTGTTGAGTAGTGTCCATACTGTGCTGCTAGATGAAGTGGAGATGTTCCCAACTGCAATGTAATGGACAAAAGTGGAGTTTTAACAGATGTCAGTATGAAGTATTTCTTCTTATTCTGGAGCTATGAAACTCAGATGTCAGGCCACCACTTCAAAATCATTTTCCCTTGCAGTCTCAAGGAAAGAAGCTGTCGGGGCTTTTACAGAGTTTGAAGAGGAAAAAAAAAAGTTTAAATGTTTTTTTTTCCAATAATCACAACACACTAAAAACAGCTCACTGGAAGCAACTTTTTGAGGTCTGTGCTGTGTTTTTTCTGTCTTTTTGAGGTGTGATGTTTCAAGGGGCCTAACCCCATTTTTAGTGTTGGTCAGCACGCCATACCAACACTGGAAGGGACCTGTGGAAGTCATTTAAGTCCAACCTCCTGCTCAAAATGGAGATGACTTGAAAGTTAGGCAAGTTAAGTAGATTAAGGCTCTAAAGAGCTTGTAAATACCCTAGAATTTTAGGTACCTAACCTCCCTATACAACCTATTCAAAAACAGGCACCTCCAAAAGACAACTCAGAGTCCCTATATCAGGGAACCCTCAGCTGCACATAACAGATAGTTAGGACTGCTTTCTTAATTCAGACCTCTTACTATACTAAATGCATAAACACAATAACTAGGAGGATGATTGGTGCTTTCTTCCATTAACCATTCCAAAGTTCATCTTGAACGCCACCAGAACAAGCTCATTCACAGTCTGTTACTAAAATCGGCAGGAGGTCATATGACTAAACAGACAATTTTAATTTTAAATTAGGCATTAGATGACATAACTGCAGAATTCCAAGAAGAAAATCCCAAGGCTTGCAATATAAATGCTTAATTGTAATAATCCTATATTCTTCTTCAGGTGAGAAAAGTAAGAGGATTTACCAAACACTGCAAAAGTTTTCATTACCCAGTCTGTGGTAAAAGGTGCTCCATTTGCCATCAAAATGCGAACTTCGTCATCTTGACCTGCTCGTGCAGCTTCTAAAAGTTTCTTTCCCAAATCTACTAGTGACATCTAGCAAAGGACATAAAAGAATACAAAGAAAAAGTAATAACATTAATACTATTTTAAGTACACAAATGCCACTACCATTTTTTTAATTATTTCTGAACTACTCTGAAAAGTTCAAAAACTGGAGTTGGTATTTTAGCCATGAGAACAAGCTTTATTGATTGCAATAAGCAGCTTGATTTTAGAATTACTTTTGTCAGCCAAACAGAACTGACACTGAGGTGAAGACTTCAGTATTACAATGCTGTAACCATAGCAGCTGCAAAGTTATATCAAACTAAATTTAAATTGAACTGGATGCACATTTCTTATAGCAGAAAGTGGTCTAGAAGCTCTCACCTGATACTGCAACCTGCTGCAGCTTTGTCCAGCTTTCAAATGGCACTACATCATGGCTGCTATGTCACACGCCCAAAGGCACTACAGTCACGTATCCAAAATGCCTATACGTATTTAAGAGGTACCACTATGTAAACGCATTTAGATAGATGCGAAACACAAGACCTTTCTGACATCTTGTCCATCACTATCACTTCATCTTGTTCACCCTAAAACATAATTTCTGTATTCCTAGCTATGAAATGATGCAATAGGTATATATTATTGTACTATTTACATCAGATAGATGAACTAAAATGTCTGCCTGAAAACAAACATTACTACCTGCTTCAACTGTCTACAGTTACTAAAAACATGTGAAGTGCAAAATTTTGATTGAGACATGACCAAGATACTAGCTGAAAAACTTTCACATCATCTTTAGGTAATCACCCTTTTACAGCACTCCAAGTTCCATATCATACAGACCACACAAAACTATACATACGTAGACAAATGACACCTATCTATGTTTCTGTTGCATCAAAGATTTCCTAGTATAACAACTTTTTAAAACTACTCTATTTCATATTTGCTATTAAATTTGTTCAGTAAAAAGAAAATTTAGAACTAAACCATAACTCATGCTACTAATCAAAATATATCATTAATGTTTTAGTCCTATACCTATGTTTCCCACTACCAGGATGCTAAGAATGGAATTACTTTCGTAAGTTTGGCTTCCAGTCACAAGCAAAGTTAAGCTGGTATTACTAATAACAGCAGTTGCAAGGCCATGCAGCCCATTTCCTACACAAAGTTAGAGTATATCAGTTCAGAAAGAAATCCCAGTAGGACCATTTTTTTATCTCTTTTCTTAAACATACACTTCTATCACAAAACCAACATACTTAGAAAGTCCTCTGCACCTAGCTCAACTGGCAAAATCTGCGTGGTATATTGCTCAACAAGCTGAAAGCTACTGACTTTGGAAGAAATTAGAAAGGAAGATGGAAATACTGCAAATGCAGAACTCCAACATGTATCAGTAGAGCCATGAACTGGAGCAGTTTACCTCTTTGTCTACAGAACTGACTGCAGGCAGCAATATCCCCTTCACCAAGATAATACTCCATTTATGTCCATCCTTCTAGTACACATGGACATGTCGATTTGTCTCCAGCCAGAAAAGGGAAGAGGGAGCAGGAAGGTGGCAGGACAGGACAAATACTGACAATGGGAAAAGGAAGGAAAAAAGGAGCACAGAGTCAGATGCAGAGGAAGGGACAACAGTTGACTCTCTTCCATAAAGAAAAAGAGCAAAAGAGAAACAGGAGTAAGAGAAAATCTACTATCCCCATTAAAGGGAGACACGAGGAGTAATGATATAAAACAATAACAGGACAGAGAGGCCATTTGGCAAGTGCAGCAGTGAAATGAAGGAATATAGCACTTTCTTTATATGGCACCCTTTGGGGGGGGAGGGGCACACAATTTAAGAAGGAAAAAAGCACACACAGACATACGCGCTTTTTCTGGTGGTCTAATACCTCCACATCAAGGTCCTCAGAAGCAAAAAGAAAGCTGGAACTTAATGCAAAATACTGAAGTTAGGAACTAATTTGGAAAGAATTAATTTTCCTAATATTTATTTTTGTTTTAAACACCAGTAGAGAAAAGGAACTAAAAGTCTCATTTTGGAGTTACAGAATAATTCAGGCTGGGCAGGACCTCTCAAGGTCACCTAGTTCAATCTCCCAGTCAGAGCTGGCCCAGGCTGTGCAGGGCTCGGTCCTGCTGAGTTCTGAATGTCTCTGTGGATGAACATCCCACCACTTCTTCAGCCTCATTCCAGTGTCCAACCACCTTCATGGTGAGAGCTGCCTTCTGTGTATACCTGTCTTTCTCCACTGACCAAAAAGACAGCCTTGATAACAAGCTTATACTTGATGTCTGCTAGACAACAAAAAGAGGTGCATTAAATTACAGTCTGTACATTTAAAAACTACACCTATTTGGAACCCACTGACCACATCTATACTAGTGAAATAAACTGCAAAGTTGTTACCAAAACCCTATGCAGCAAAACCAAGCAAAAAAAATTAAATTATGGTGGCCTGCAAACTACAAGTCTCACTCCCAGGAGATGTTAGGACAAGCTTCAGCCCGAGACTGACACCTTTTCAGAGTCTCTCTGAAACACTACTGTTGAACACACTGTCAGAGTGACAGTACATCAGTTCTCAATGCAAAACTAAACAGCATTGTACTACTCAGTAAGAAATGTTCTTATCAAGGAAAAAAGAGGGACGTGTAATATCATACATGACATAACCTTCATTACCACGTGTTACTTACATTAACCAACACTCTCTTGGTTGATATAAAGTGTTTATATTTTAAACAAGAACAAAGCATCACAGAAGTTTACATATGTTTCACGATGCAGAATTTTAACTTCAGTTAAAATGACACAAATTTATTTTAGAAACGAAGTAAAAGTTTCACTTCTCATAGGGTACTTGAAAGCATGCTTGGGCCATCTAGTGGAAGAAAGTTAAAAACCTAGCAAAATTACACAAACTCAAAAATCACATTATATGTCAATAATGCACTAACAACAGCAACTGATGAGGCCTTTCCAACAAAGGACTCACGCACATTTAGTCACTTTTAACCAACAAATACTAGCATTCACAAAATTTCTCAAGAGTAGTCAACCCAAAGCTGATTTCTACTTGACAGACCGTTCCAAGGACCGGTATTGTAAGGTCAGGAAACCCTCGAGTAACAACATGCCCCACACTTCCCCCCATGCTCTTCCACTGCTAGTACTGGGACACACCGAGAAGGGGCTGCAGTGTCAGAATTGCACTTTCTTCCCTTTCCAGAAGAATTCTTCAGCTGCTCTCTTGAGATCAGTTAGTCACACTACAATAGCACAGTGATACTATCAAAAGCGAAGTTCTATATATAGTACAATAAAATATATTTAAAATTTAAATATCTCCATTTCAAAGCAGCACTCTTAGTCAAGTACTGCTGCTACTCCATGTAGTGTTACAAATCAACTCTGCTGAACTGTGTTAGAGGATACTCTTCAGTAACTGTGTCACCTTCATCAAGCTTGGCTAGCACAACAGCTGGGTAATGCTTTATAAGGGGATTCTTTCAGACAATAAAAACATCACCGGCTCTGAAATAAAGTCTTGAGACTATTATAGTTATTCTTATGGCAATCTGAGCATGTTTTCAGGCTTCTAACAGCTCCTATACAACTGTGTGAACAGAGGGTTCTGTCTACAATTGAGTAAATAGGGAAGAGCTTCTGCTGGGCTTGGACTTCTTTGCGTTAACCACCTCCTGAACTTCCACATTTCATTACTGCAATGCATTCTGTACGGTATCATTAGCCAGATGCCACGATGAACTGGTAATTAAAATTTACATCAAATTATTATTCCTATTTTACTTCTGTTCAATAGGAAATCATACTGCTTTTTTGTATCCGTCTTAGATTTAAGTTTTTATACATTCTGTAAAACTCTGAACGTCATGCTGTTACCAGAGGGGTATATAACTTGACCAGAGTTTAGGTGGAACTGTGCGCAAAATGGGCTCTGTGGGGAGGGAGAAGAGCTGAAAAACATGCAGCTTGGGAAGCCTGGGGTCCCACACCACAGCCTACAGGCAACAGAGCAGCAGAACCTGCGGTCCACAGAACGAAGACTAAGTATGGCTTAAAATATTGCAGCACCTTTCAGACTGGTGTCCTGCCCCAAGGATCCTCGACCCAGCCTTTATTCCCCTTCTACCGCTGCAGCGGTGAACATCAGCCAGTCAGAATCAACAGGCACAAAACAGTTGTTGCAGAACACCTGCTAACATGGAGATCTCGCAGCCGCCAACGTACGCCAAGGCATGCTCCTAGAAGGGACATACTTACACTAGAAGAGCATGGACTGCACCGGTGCAACTTACTGGAAGGTAAACTAAATCAACATACACCCCATCTATGATGAGGATTTGCAATCATTCCTAAAAACCCCAGGATGAAGTTCCATAAAATGCTAATTAAACAGGTTTCCCTACTGAAGATATCTTGGAAGATAGCTTGAGACCCGTCATCTCTCACACCCATTACGTCTGGAAAAAGAATGCCCTTTTCAGAATGTCTTTTTCTTTCACTATTTAAAAAAAAAAAAAAAAAAAAAAAAAAAATCAGCCTGCTTCCCCCGCCCTGATCACCCCAGGATGAAGTTCCATAAAATGCTAATTAAACAGGTTTCCCTACTGAAGATATCTTGGAAGATAGCTTGAGACCCGTCATCTCTCACACCCATTACGTCTGGAAAAAGAATGCCCTTTTCAGAATGTCTTTTTCTTTCACTATTTAAAAAAAAAAAAAAAAAAAAAAAAAAAATCAGCCTGCTTCCCCAGACCTGATCTTCAGAAATGCTATCACCCTACCGATTTCAACATTGCACAGTATCGCTAGAAATTCAGAACAGCAATTTCTAAATAATTTTATATGCCTATCCATACCAAGGTCAAAAATATTTTTAAGTACAGAGTATAACTAGTCAGGAATAACTTTTAAAATCTTTAATCAAGCACTCAGTTTTGATCATTATTAGAATTGAAATAATAGGATCAACTTGCTTTATTTTTTTTTTTACACCCTGATGTAACAGCACAATACTTGAACTCAGAACAACTCTTCAAAAAGTTTTTTATTTCAATTACAGTTTTGTACCTTTTAAAGGAACCAGAAGGTCTGCATTAAACTTAGGCGTATTTCCATGTGCTAGCATCCCTTAAAAACTTGGGTATTTTACCTTGTGTATCATTTAATAGTGATTATAGCGACTTACATGGGATAAACTCAAAAAGATCCTGTATTGTTTCCCAAGGGAATCACGCCCTTCCAAATGTATTTTGACAATGACTTCACACGTCATACTTCAAATCTTAATATAAATATCATAGGCTTAGAGTATCCACAGCTCTATTATGATAATGAAAATTACACTAACATATTAATAAGTCGGCTTTAATTCCAGTGCTTTCAGCTTTCCTCTATGACTGTGTTGTGTGTGCAACTAAATTCTCTCCAGTTTGTTTAAAGAGCAACATGACCTTCATGTTGGACTAGGTATGCATCAGATGAAAAAAAAACTGATCTGAGAAAAGAGATCAGAAAAGCAAACATATTGTTGGAATAGTTTAGTGGTTAAGATAGTCAAGGTTGTGTTTATGCAGGTCTGTCCTCCAATTAGGTTCATACGTTAATTTAAATTAGCACCAATCATCAACGTAACTCCATTAAATAATGCAGCTGGTAGAAAAGTCTTGTCCTTAAAAAGGAGAGCACAGATTTGGCCATTATCTGCAACAAAATGCAACACCTAAAAAACATGATTATGCAACAAGGGTGAACCATTGGCACCAACCAAGATTTGGGTTGGCACTGCCAACAACTACAAAGGTTTCACAGATAAGTTTGGCACTGGATACCAAAAAGGTTACGTTACGGCAGCTATGACTGACATGAAGAAACTAAGGGCTTGTGACGTAGCCTTTGAACTGTTTTAGAGCCTTAGGAGTGTATCTCAGATTAACTGAAACTTGAAAACATCCTCAAACAAAAATCACCAGCCTCTCTAATTAAAGCATCTGTTTTATCACAAGGAATCTTCCCTCAGCAGTTTCTGTCTAGCACATAGGCCCAAAACAACCCTAGAAAACAAACTGTTTTCAGCAAAGAAAGTGGGTCACGAACAAGAGCGTACACCTAGTGTATGCGGATGTGCCACGGATACTCTTAACCTTACACAGCAGATTTGTGCACCATTACAAGTATTTCCATGTGCGTACAGACGTCAACCAAACTGCTTAGTCTTACTAATACTTCAGAAGTCATGACTAATTTAAAGAAAAACATTAAGCTACTCCAAGGTGTGCATTCACAACTTTTAGCACATTTAACTCTAATATGCAGCATTTGCCATTAAATAAAGCTACGTTAGTAAGCAGGTTAGAGGACAACATACAACTGCTTTAAGTTAAAAACTCTAAGCACGTAAGACTTCCTAGAGGGGATTTCACCGACGTGCTATCAGACAGCGTACAGCGTCTCACCAACAGGAACGGCTTTGAGTAGTAGGAGAGAAAAGAAAAACGACAGTCCGAACTAACACGTCTTATCGCACGCTTCTGCTCCCGTCGTACGCTTTATTAAGAGTCCAAAGCAAGAGTTACAGACTCGGGGTGAGGGACACTGCAGAGGGAAGCGCTGCCCTCAGGGCACCTTTGGCGCCAAGCTCCGGCACGCAGCTCAGCCGCCCCCGGGCCGCGACAGGAGCCGGCCACGCCGCCCCACGCGAGGCCCGAGACCGTCCCCACGCGGCCTAGACCGGGCTGCCCGGCGGGGAAAGACGCGGGACGAGCCGGGCCCCGCTCTG